ATTTCGAACCCCCCAAATGCGAATTTTCAGGTAGAATGTCATTCGTCAATTTTTTGCTTCTGGATACGAAATGAAATTTCAGGATACGCCCTTTCCCCCCTCCAAGGAGGCGTGGAAATTAAATCACTTGCATGTGCCTCACATTACATTCATAGAAGTAATCTCATGGGAGGTGACAACCACATATTGTTTACAGTAGTTACCCGTGTAGAAATGCGAGAAAACTTAAGCCACCCCTGGTTGCTGCAGGTGGCTCCTTTGACCTCACAAATTTTATCCACATCTAACCTAGACCAGTACCGTAGATTAAGGTTGGGTAACACCAATGGGCATAGCGTTACAAATAAGTTGTGGACTGTATCTTGTACCAACTGAGCCCACGGAAGTCACCGAGATTATAAAGTCACTTAAAAACAACTCAGGAAATCTGTCTCATGTCCCACCATTATTGTACAAGCGAGCGGCCCATGTCCTTTCGCATGCTATTTCATTACTTTTTAACAAGTCACTAGAAACTAGCACTTTCTTGAAACTACTCAAGACAGCAAGGGTTACACCAATACATAAAGGTGGTGATCCTACAGATTTAAACAACTACAGGTCTCCCTCAACATTCACGTCTTCAACTTTCATGGGCTTCACACATTTGCGAATTCCCAACTGCCAAATTCCCAGCCACCAAATTCCCAGCCGCCAAATCATATTTAAGTTTCCCGCCACCTGCGAGTCCCTACTACCCTCCCTCCGACCCCCGCAATTGGCAGCCAGCCCTCCCACCACTCAGTGTGTTGAGTGTTTTGTTTATTCACTATTTGCTATTAAACTACAGTATAAATAATGTAAACCCATTCATGACTGCATATTGGAATGGCTATTCGAACAGGTATTAGACGGTGACATCATGCGTTTACTCCTTAACACTGCAAAGAATTAAACATTTCTGCTACAGCTAATAATAACAATAGTAGTAGTAATAATAATAATAATAATAATAATAATAATAATAATAATAATAATAAATATGATATAATTGAAGAAGGAAATTGTACAAAAATACGAGAGAGTGGTTGACACATCGTCAGTGTGACTTTGTTTATGCTGGAGTGAACATTAGTCTCCCTGCTCTTCAAACATTTCACAATAATTCATTGTGTTTGGTGCTTGTAGATTGAGTGTGACTGGAGTGGTAGAGGCAGTGATTGAGGCAATGGTATTTAATAACATACATGTTAATAATAATACATGTTATTAATAATATGTACTATTATTATTTATAACATATGTTATTAACCCTTTGACTGTTTCCGACGTATAAATACGTCTTACGAGCCAATGTTTCTGACGTATTTATACGCATAAATTCTAGCAGCTTCAAATCAAGCAGGAGAAAGCTGGTAGGCCCACATGTGAGAGAATGGGTCTCCATGGTCAGTGTGCACCATATAAAAAAAATCGGGGAGCCAGTGGTGCATTGTGGGAATGCCATTTCAGTTGTCCTTTTTCAGCATGTCTAGCGGTAAGAAATATGTGATTCCCCAGCAAATCTGGGACTCTTCTCTTCCCAAGTGATGCTCTAAGACAGATGGAAGTGTCAGTGAAGATCAATTTCATGATTTGGAGGAGTTTGAGACCAAAAGCAATGGAGGAGGAGGAGGGGGAGGAGGGAGGAAGAGGAGGAGGAGGAGGAGGGGGAAGGAAGGAGGAGGGGGAGGAGGAGGAGGAGAAGAGGAGGAGAAGAGGAGGAGGAGGAAAAGGGAGGAGGAGGAGGAAAAGAGGAGGAAGAAGAAGATGAAAATAATATTTTTCCCCTTGAAGCAAGAAAAAAAAAGTCCACCCCATGACAGTGAAAAGATAAGGGGAGATTAACATCTGATAAGAGCTGACTTTGATGAGCGTAAAGGAGGGTAAAATTACATGACCATCGCCCTCCCTTTGTTTTTGCTGGTACACAAACATTTGTCTGTCTGTCTATTTTTCTGTCTGTCAAGCTCCCTGTCTGTCCATCTAGCTCTCTGTCTCAGAGAGAGCCACAAGACTGTGTCATCACGTTTACTCACATCTTCAAGCAGAGTATAGCACTTTGTCTGGATTTCTTGGGTTATCCTAGGTAATTTTCACTATGTTATACTTGTATTTATGTGTACCTGTGAGACAGAGATAGGCAGGACAGATAGAAAGAGAGACAGATTGAAAGATATAGAATGAGGGAGAAAGATTAATTGATAGAATGGGGGAGGAAAGGAGGAGGAGGAGGAGGAGAAGAAGAAGCAGAAGAAGCAGAAGAAGCAGAAAGGAAGAAGCAAGAAGCAGAAGAAGCAGAAAAAGCAAAAAGAAGCCCGAAGCAGCAGAGCAGAAGAGCAGCAGAAGAAGAAACAGCAGGAAAAAGCAGCAGCAGCAGCACAGCAGCAGCGCAGCAGCAGCGCAGCAGCAGCAAGCAGCAGCAGCAGCGCAGCAGCAGCAGCAGCAGCAGCCAGCAGCAGCAGCAGCAGCAGCAGCAGCAGCAGCAGCAGCAGCAGCCCGCAGCAGCGCAGCAGCAGCAGCAGCAGCAGCAGCAGCGCAGCAGCAGCAGCAGCAGCAGCAGCAGCAGCGCAGCAGCAGGCAGCAGCAGCAGCAGCAGCAGCAGCAAACAGCAGCAGCAGCACAGCAGCACAGCAGGTGCAGGGAGCAGGCAGCGCAGGGCAGCAGCAGAGCAGCAGCAGCAGCAGCAGCAGCGCAGCAGCAGCAGCAGCAGCAGCAGCAGCAGCAGCCCGCAGCAAGCAGCAGCAGCAGCACAGGGAGCAAAACAGCAGCGCAGCACACGCAGCAGAACCAGCGCGCCAGCAGCAGCGCAGCAGCAGAGCAGCAGAGCGCGCAGCACCCCGCAGGGAGCAGCAGCAGAGCAGCCAGCAGCAGCAGCACGCAGCAGCACAGCAACTTGTTCCAAGAATGGAGGAGGAGGAGGAGGAGGAGGCAGAGGAGGAAGAGGCAAGGAGGAGGAGGAGGAAGAGGAATGAGGAGGCAAGAGGAGAGAGGAGGAGAGGAGGAAGAAGAAGAGGAGGATGAGGAGGAGGAGGAGGAGGAAGAAGAGGAGGAGGAGGAAGGAGGAGGAGGAGGAAGGTGGTAGGAGGATGGAGGAGAGAGGAGGAGGAGGAAGAAGAAGAATACTAATGATAACAATAAACAAAATAATAATACATAATAATAATAATAACATAATAATAGATAATAAACTAATAAATTTTTTATGAAGTATGTTTTGGTAGACAGCAACCACCCAGGGAGTACTTTCCGACCTTCAGTGAGTGTAAAACGAAGCCTGTGATGTTTTTACATGATGGTAGGATTAGGCTGATGTCTTTGTCTGTCGTCATAAATATATGGCAAAAAAAAAGATTACAGGCATGTCTTGCTACTTCTACTTACACTTAGGTCCTCACTACACATACATGTACACATTTAATTAATACACCTCCATCTGAGTTTTTTCCTTTTGATTTTTATCTTAATAGTGCTTGGTCTTATTATTTTCCCTTTATATCCATGGGGAAGTGGAATATAGAATCTTTCCTTGCCGTAAGCCATGCGTGTTGTAAAAGTCGAACTAAAATGCCCGGGGAACAATGGCTAGTAAACCCTTTTTTCCTGTAAAGATTACTAAAAAAGAATAAGAAGAAGAAAATTGTCAAAGTGGGAAGTCTGAATGTGCCTGGATTGTTGTGCAGATGATAAGAAAGAGATGATTGTGGATGTTATGAATGAAAGAAGCAGGATGTCCTGGCTTTAAGTGAAACAAAGCTGAAGGGGGTGGAGAGTTTCGTGGAGAGGAATAAATGGGATTAGGTCAGGGGTTTCAAATAGAGTTAGAGCAAAGAAGAGTAGCAATAATGTTGAAGTGAAGCTAGGGCAGGAAAAGAAGGACTAGAAATGTATTAAATTCAAGGATTATGTGGAGTAAAAGTAAAGATTGGATGGGTGAAAAGTGGGTTAAATAAGCGTGTATGCAAACCTGGAGAAGAGAGAAGTGTAGAGGTGAGAGAGAGATTTTGGAAATGTTGAGTGAATGCGTGGGGATGTTTTGCATCAATGTGGTGAGAGGTAATGGGGTTGGGGATTTTAAATGCTAAAGTGGGTAAAAATGTTATGGAGGGAGTATAGGTAAATTTGGGTGCCAGGGGGTAAATGTAAATGGGGACCCTTTAATTGATGCTATGTGTAGAAAGAAATTTTGGTGAATAAGTAATGACAAATTTTATGAAAAAGAGGATAAATAAAATATACAATGGTATGATGTAGCACTGTTAATGAAAGTAGTTTATTAGATTATGTATTGGTGATAAAAGGTTGGTGGGGTAGGCTCCATGATGTACATGTTTATAGAGGGCAACTGATATATCGGATCATTATTTAGTTGTAGCTACAGTTAGAGTAAGAGTTAGATGGAAAAGAGGAAGGTGGCAACAACAAGTAAGAGGGAGGTGAAAGTGTATAACTAAGGGAGGAGGGAAGT